TACCACCAATTTTGGTGTCACCACTATCTTACTAACCATGCTTCCTAAATTTGGATAAATGCGAGGTGTTGCATTTTGGAATGAAAACCAAGGGCAGGACTTATACAGTTAATGGTACAGCCCTGGATATTGTTGTTGAACAGAGACTCCTAGAGGTTCAGCCTCTTTGAAAGTTGTGTCACAAGTAGTCAAAGTGGTAAAGAAGGCACTTGGCATGCTTGCCTTCATTGTTCAGACCACTGAGTATCGGAGTTGGGATGTCATGTTGCGGTTGTACAGGACGTTGGTGAGGCCACTTTTGCAGTACTGTGTACAGTTCTGGTCACACTGCTATAGAAAGGATATTATTAAGTTAGAGAGGGTGCAGAAAAAATTTACAAGGATGTTACCAGGACTGGAGGTTTTAAGCTCTAGGGAGAGAATGGATAGGCTGGAACTTTTTTTCACTGGAGCATAGGAGTTTGTAAAATAATGAGAGATATAGACTTATTGAGGTTTATAAAATCATGAGGGGTATAGATAAGGTGAATAGCAAAGGTCTTTTCACTAGGGTAGGTGAGTTCAAAACCAGAAGGCATGTTTTTAAGGTGAGAGGAGAAAGATTTAAAATGGACCTAATGGGCAACCTTTTCACACAGAGGGTGGTTCATACATGGAAATAAACTGCCAGAGGGAGTGGTAGATGCAGGTGCAGTTACAGTTACAACATTTAAAAGACATGGACAGGTAAATGAATAGGAAGGTTTAGCAGGATATCGGCCAAACGCAGGAAAGTGCTTAGGTTAGTTTTGGAAACTTGGTCGGCATGGACAAGTTGGACCAAAGGGTCTGTATGACTCTATGACTCCAGTACTCCTGGAATATTGTCAGTGTCCATTGCCTTTGCAGTTTGCAGTGCCTCCAACTATTTCTTGGTATCATGTGGAGTTAACTGAATCGGCTGAAGACTGGCAACTGATGCTGGGTTCTCTGGAGAAGGCCAATATGAATCATCCACTCTGCACTTCTAGCTGAAGATTGTTATGGATGTTTCATTCTTTTCTTTTGCACTTATGTGCATGGTTCTCCCATCATTGAGGATGGGATATTTGTGGAGCCTCCTCCTCCAGTGAGTGGTTTTATTGCCCACATCCATTCACAACTGGATGTGGCTGGATTGGAGAATTCAGATCTGATACATTTGTTCTGGGATTGCTTAACTCCTGGCATGAAAGTAGTTCTGCTTCCTAACTTCTCCAGGTTGACATTTCATTTTGAGGTATGCTTGGAGCAGCTCCTGGCATGCCCTCCTGCACTCTTCATTGAACCAGGAATGATCCCCTGGCTTGATAATAGAGTCACAGAGTCACACAGCACGGAAACACACCCTTCGGTCCAACGAGTCCATGCTGAACATAATCTCAAACTAAAGTAGTCCCACCTGCCTGCTCCTGGTCCATATCCATCCAAACCTTTTCTATTCATATATCCATCCAAATGTCTTAAGACAACTAGCATCTATCTATATCTCTCATTATTTTACAAACTTCTATCAGATCACCTCTCAATTTCCTACATTCCAGTGAACAAAGTCTCAGCCTATCTGGCCTTTCCTTATAACTCAAACCTTCCACCCCAGCAACATCCTGGTAAATTTCTTCTGAACACTCTCCAGCTTGATAATATCCTTCCCATAAATGAGCGACCAGAACTGGACTCCAGAAGAGGCCTCACCAATGTCTAGTACAACTTCAACACAACGTCCCATCTCCTATACTCAAAGGATTGAGCAATGAAGGCAAGCATGCCAAATGCCTTTTTAACCATCCTGTCTATATGTGACGCAAACTTGAAAGAATTATGTACCTGCACCCCTAAGTCTCTCTGTTCTACAACACTACCCAAGACACTACCATTAATAGTACAAGCCCTACCCTTGTTTGTTGTACAAAAATACAATACCTTGCATTTATCCAGATTGAACTCTATCTGCCGTTTTTCAGCCCACTGACTCATTCGATCAAGATCCCTTTGTAATCTTAGATAACCTTCTTCACTGTCTACAATGCCATCAATTTTGGTGTCATCTGCAAACTTACTAATTATGCCTTCTATATTCTCATCCAAATCATTTATATAAATGACAAACAAAAGAAGACCCAGAACACTGCTGGTCACAGGCCTCCAGTCCGAAAAGCAACTGTCCACCATTGCTCTCTGTCTCCTGCCATTAAACCAATTATATATCCAATTGGCAAGCTCACTCTGAATCCCATGTGACCTAACTTTACTAATTAGTCTACCATGCAGAACCTCGTCAAAGGCTTTACCAAATCCAAACAAAGAACAGCTACTTCTCTGCCATCATCAACCTTTTTGGTAACTTCCTCAAAAAACTCAATCAAGTCTGTGAGACACAATTTTCCTCACACAATACCATGCTGACTATCCCTAATCAATTTTTGCCTCTTGTCCACAAATCCTATCTTTTATAATCACCTCCAACAATTTACCCACAACTGAAGTCAGACTCACAAGTCTATAGTTCCTTGGTTTTCCCTTACAACCTTTCTTAAACACAGGTACAGCATTAGCCACCCTCCAGTCATCATGCACCTCACCCATAGTTATAGATGATGCAAATATTTCTGCAAGGGTTCTCAATTTCCTCCCTTACTTCCCACAATATTCTGAGATACATTAGATCAGGTCCCAGAAATTTATCCACCTTTATATTCTCCAAGACCTCCCAAACTTCCTCTTCTGTAATGTGAACTGTTGTTAAAGTGGAGGATATGCTGGTTCAAGAGATTGCAGATTGCAATGGAGTAAAATTCTGCTGCTGCTGATGGCCTACAGCACTTCATAGATGCAAAATCTTTAGTTGTTCGATCTGTTAGAAGTCTGACCTATTGAGCACTGTGGTGATACCACATGACACTATGTAAGATATTTGCAATCTGAAGGCAAGACTTCATATCCACAAGGACTGTAGTGGTCACACTTATCAATGCTGTCATGGACAGATGCATCTGTAGCAGGTAGACTGCTGACAATGAGGTAAAGTAAGTTTTTGTTCTCTTGTTGGTTCCCTCATAACCTGCTGTATCCAGTCTAGCAGCAATGTCTTTAGGATTCAACCAGCTGATCAGTAGTGCTGTTACTGAGCCACACTTGGTGGTGGACACTGAACTCCCCAGCCAAAGTACATTCTCCACCTTGACCACACTCAGTGCTTCCTCGAAGTGTTGTTCAATATTGAGGAAACAGAGTCATCAGCTGCAGAAGGATGTTGTGTGGTAACCAGCAGGAGATCTTCTCCATGTCTGACCTGATGTGGAGGTCTCCCAGGGCAACTTCCTCCCAATGTATACCACTGTGCCACTACCTCTGCTGACCTGCTTTGCTGGTGGCACAGAGCATCTCCAGAGATGGTGATGATGGTGTCTGTGACATTGCAAGGTATGGTGCCATGAGTACGTCCATGCTAGGCTATTGCTTGACTAATCTGTGAGACAGCTGTCCCAATTTTGGCACTAGTCCCAGATATTAGTAAGGAAGAATTTGCAGGGTAGGGCTGTTTTTGCCATTGACGTTTCTATGCCAAGGTCATTGCTAGGTGGTCCATCAGGTTTCATTCCTTTTTGAGACCTTCTATTTATTGACACAACTGAATAACTCAGAGGGCAGTTGAGAGTCAACCACGCTGCTGTGGGTCTAAAGTCACATGTAGGCCAAATCAGGTAAGGCCAGCAGATTTCCTTCCCTGAGGAGTATTTGTGAACCAGAAAGGTTTTTCCAACAATTAGCAGTAGTTTCATAGTCACTATCAGCTCTTAATTTTTATTGAATTCAAATTCAATGACAGAATTTGAAGCCAGGTCCTCGGAACATTAGCTGAGTTACTAGATTAATAATCTTGCAATAATACCAGTGGGCCATCACCTTCCCTCATTAACCTGGTTGATTCCCAATGCTCAATATGCTAAGAATCATATGAACCTTGTAGTGAACTTAGAAAAACCAACTACAGTACTAATCTCTACCCTTCATTTTTCTTAATAGTATTAGCATTTTTATTAAAAGAAAATTAATCACGCAGACCAGACACATACAAATTTCATTAAGAAAATGACTAGGTTCACGATAAAACTAAACAATTTTTGCTAAATGTTTATGTTACCCTCTGATGGTAAAATCCTTAGCTGGTCTTTGGGCCATTCAATTGTTAGATTCAAGAGAGTGATCCCAGAGTCTGAGAGACTTCACCTGGCCACTCCTATCCTTGCACTTGGCCCAGTGAAGAGTCTCTTTCCAATGTACCTCCAGGTTTTCACTCTCCACTCATCATACTGGAACATTAGCTCAGTGCAGTGATCTCATCTTCAATGCCTTCTGTACAGTGGAACACAAATAATCTCGGCTGCCTATCATTTTTTTAAAAGTAAAATTGTCATGGTATATCACTCACTCACCTGAATAAAGCAAGGGTCAGTGACCACAAGACTAATGGTTTCCGAAGTTCAAACTTCTTCCGCTCTCTCATGTAATACTGCCCAGCAAAGATCAACGCAGCATAAACTGCAGAAAACAGAAACGACTTGCTCCTAATGCAAAACAGGAGAAAAGTAACTAAAGTTAGATTGTTGAATTTTAAATAAAGAAAACCATGTATGCCACTGAGTGATGCCCTACAGATTTCAAATTCTAGCAAAATTGGAATTAAAAACATTTGATTTGAGAAATTATTTAATTTTTTTTTAAGTGCAATGACTACTCCATGTAGCCATATAGACTTTGAAGGTGAATGATATGAGCCATCTCTAGCACAGCCTCACTTGCCTTGTTTGAGGGGGCTTTGATAGAACAAATAGGAACACTGTTTTCACTTGAAAGAGGATCAGTAGTCAAAGGACAAAGATGTAAAATCATTGGCAAAATAAGATGAGAGATATCAGGAGACGTTATTTTCTGCACCAAGTTGTTAATGATACTTGATGCAGTGCTTGAACAAATCGTGAAAGCAGATGCAATAGTAAGTTTCAAAAGATAATTTGATGTAACTTGAAAGGGATTTTTTAATTATTCTATGAGAAGTGGACATCATTGACAAGGCCAGCTTTTGCTGCCTATCCCAACTACTTGAACTAAGTGGCTTGCTCAGCCATTTCAGAGGATAATTAAAAATCAACCACATTACTATAGATATGGAGTCCCATGTAGGCCAGATCAGGTACATATAGCAGATTTCCTTCTTTTTTTTAAATGGGGAAAGAATCTTAGAGTTGTTATGATTGGATAGTTATTTCAGAGAGCTGGCAGAGATACAGCAGACACAATGTGTTATAGGATTCAAGGAGAATTTCTTTCCTCTCAGAGACATTGGTGTGTGGAATTTTCTTCCCCAGTGGTAGAGGCAAAGGCATCAAATATATTTAATGTTATGTGAGATTCTTAATTGGCAAGGGAGTCAAATGGCAAGAGGGTAGATAGGAAAGTGGACTTGAGGTCACAATCAGGTCAGCCACGAGCTTATCAAATGGCAGAGCCAGCTCAAGGGGCTGAATGGTCTATTGAATCCTCATATGTATGTTCTGTACATGTGATCCTACAAAAGGTTCAAGATAACCCAGCAGCTGACAGAAAAGCAGTTCTTCAGATATGCTAAGCTATTCAGACAAAAGTGAGAAATTATAGGGTAAGAGGGTGTTGCTCCACACCGGTGAGATGTGGATTTTTCCATGTAATTAAATTCCTAATCCCAGTCAAAAAAATTTAAGGAGATAGAGAGCAGACTTTGGATAATTTAAAGGACTGTAGGGAAATCCAATAACTTAACTATTCTCAAACTTATCATATGTCACCTCACGCATCAACAACTTCCATATGTTCTGAGGCAATCTCTGGGACCAACTGCCAAATCAAATTTAATACCATGGCCATAACTAGGTAGTACAACAGGTGATCTAAAAACTTAATGCTTATTGCTTTTAAGGAAACAACATCATAAAGCAGATCTAAAAGTTTCTCAAAGTACGAAAATAGTTTCAATCGCCCACAACTTTTATTGGAAACTGCTGTTTTTTTTAAGTCTTGTACTCTGTCCTCCACAAAGGCAAGTGAAGCAGAAAAATAGGTTAAAAACTCCAGGTTTTTGAAGTAACATTGTTTATCTTTCAGTTTTACTTAAATGGACTATTGTTCAATGTCGAATGGAGCTTGTTCAGCTTTTTACGTTGAACAGTATAATTAGTCATGCTGACATGTAGAAACTCATCGTTTAGGATCTAAAGAACAGAACAGATTGATCCCTACCCTCAAAGTCTTATCAGTTTATGGTTAAAATAACATCTAATCTTGCAATATCCACAGAGATTTCAATGACCACACCCTGTTATTTTTACCTCATTTTATTTGTTCACTTCCGTGGGGCAACAGCTGACAACTCATTATACTGAAAAAAGAACTATATTAGTAAAACGTGCGTCAACAGGCAAAGAAAACAGATGTAAGATACCATCACAAGGACCAGGCTCAGCAACTGTCACCGGGCTTGATATACTCTTGTACATTTAGTCCGTGCTTGCTTGCACCAAATTTTCCGCTGGTGCGTATTGAGCAGATTTTGCTGACAGTTTATCTCTGATTTTCATCAGCAATTTACTGAGAAATGTATTTAGGTACAAATCTGTACTCTGCCTTTACTGAGAAATATTTCTTCATTCAAAGCATTATGATTGCTTTTAGAATCTAGTATTCCTTTAACTTTTGCTGGAAAAGTGCTTTTTCTACAACTCAGACATAAGAAAAAGCCCCAAGGCTCTTCACAGGTTTATAAGGAGAACTGGCAATGAGCTGGAGGGGAGATATGAACTGGAGATAAGAAATTAATAGAGGTGACCAAGAGCTTAATCAAAGTGACAGGGACCAAGAGGTTTTAAAGGATGGAAAGAGAAATGGAAAGGAGGAGAGATTTAGATAAGAATTTCCAAAAATAATTATTAAGTAGCTGACTGTTTACTGCCAAGGAATGGATAAGTAATAGGGTAGGATGATTAAATAAAAAGGGAGTCAAAAAAAAATCCATTAAATAACATCTCACAAAACTTTAGGATGTCCTAAAGTGCTTTACTACCCATGAAGCATACTGACTGTTGTCATGTAGGAACTGCAGAAACAAATATATGCACAGCAAGCTCCCACAAACAGCAGTGAGATTTGTAACCAGATAATGTGCATCATTTGTGCTAGTTGAAGAATAAATATTGAACTGAACAGTGAGAGAACTCCCTTCTCTTTGAAATAAAAGATGAAATTATTTCTGTCCACCTCAAGTAATCCCAATGTCTTTCCATTTCAGTCTTTCATGCATTCTTGCTGTCCTGATCCTTCCTGACCCATTGTAAGTTTTTGTTGCCTGAACAACAGAAATTAGTTCCAGCTAATTGAAGTTAATAAATATGTAAAATGGTTCCAGCACAGCAAGGAGACCTAGTATACGTCAGGAACCATTGCCTTCAGCTGCTAACGGCGAGCAGCACCCTCTACTGCACAAATCAACAATTTAATTATTCATATGGGTAGACCTTAAGGTTCTGTTCAGGTCAGTGTGACTGAACATCCTTTTACTTGAGAGTGGTTGTGGTTCTTCTTTTCTCCTGTTATTTTCTTCCAGGCAAGGTTGAATCAGTCTTTTGAGGTCAAGGCCAATCTCCAAATTATTCTTTAACCATTGGCATTCTAATCTCATAGAAACAAAAACAAAGGTGTCATATACTTGAAATATGATAATCCTGTAAAAGGATCCTCATAAGACAGGTTCACAGTCCAGTAACTTATAAAAAATGATTAAATAAATTACATTTCAGCACTCCTCACATAAATATTTCTACAGGCTTAAAATGTTTTTTTATTCTTTGATTTCTTATAGGTCTCAGTTTATTCTTCTGAGGGTAGATAGAAAAGTGATAAATTGCATATATTTGGGCTTAAGACTCAAATCAATGATGACCAATCTTCCTACCTTGCTATTAAATTCCACTTGGCATTAATAGTGTTTACATATAATATAAAAGAACAAGGACCAGGATCACACCATTCAACAAGATCATGGTTGATCTGACTGTAACTTCAAATCTACATTCTCACATATACTAATAACTCCGTTGCAGGCGTGGCCAAAACTAGGGCTATAAATACAAGACAGCCACTTAGAATTGTTTAATAAGAATCAACTTACTACTGTCTTAAAAATATTCGAGGGCTCTGCTTCCACCACCTTTTCAGCAAGAGAATTTCAAAGACTCATGACTCTCAAATAAAATTTACTTCATCTCAACTTTAAATGGGTGACCCATAATTTTTAAACAGTAACCCGTAGTTCTAGATTCTCCTGCAAGAGGAAGAATCCTCTCTGCATTTACCTGGTGAAAATCCCCCCATGACCTTATATGTTCTAATCAAGTTGCCTTTTACTCCTCTAAACTCCAGAGAATACAAGCCCAACCTGTCCAACCTTTCTTCAAAAGGGAGCCAACTCATTCCAGGTAATAGTCGGGTAAGCTTTCTCTGAATTGTTTGCAACACATTTAAATGCTTCTCTAAATAAGGTGACCAATACTGTGCAAAATGTTCCAGATGTGGCCTCACCTATGCCGAGTAAAACTGAAGTGTATTCAATTCCACTTGTGATAAATTATATTTTAGCTTTCCTAATTACTTGCTGTAGTATAACTTACAATAGTAATAATTATAGAGAATACATTTACTGCTATTTACATTCCATAGCAACTTTCAGATTGCTCATTTTCTGGTAGGTTCAGTATCTGTAAACATCAGCTTTTTTTTTGAAGTACGTCTCATTTACCTGGTGTAGGATACACATCATGCTGAGATTGCAAACTGAAGCTCAAAAGTTATTGTTTAGCAGATTGATTGCATTTTAAGTATACTGACACAGTAGTCACCTGCCATGATCAGAGTTTTTTTTTGTGTAGTATTGCAAAGCATCAGCTTGGAACAGAAACTGGCTATTCAGCCTTTGTAGTCTATGTTCCACATGAGTCACCTTCCTTCCTTTTTATCTAATTCCCATGACACACACCTTGTAAACTTCACTCCCTCACGTTTATCCAGCCTCCCTTTAAATACATTTAGCTACGTGATAGCGAGTTCCACACTCACCACCATCTTGGTAAAGAATTTCACTTGAATTCCCAATTGGATTTATCAGTGACTGATTTATACTTAAAGCCCTAGTTTTGGCCTCACCTACAATGGACAATATCTTCTCCATATTTGACTTAAGAAGTTTTTTATATTATTATAAACTTGCCTATTGACACACACCAGCTAGACCCTGAAGAGACAGAATCCCTTTTAATAAAGTTGACTTACAGTTCCCACAAAGTGTACAGTCAGTGTGTGGGCAAGCTTGCAGTTCTAGTTAAACCCTGAACTTACTCCACTTTGTCAACTCTGGCAACTGAGAATGAATTGCAGTTACCTCTCATCGAGTTGAGACACTTAATGTCTTCCCTTATGCATCACCATTACACCTTCATGGCCTCTGACAATATCATCCTTGGCCTGCTGAGGCTGCATTTTG